TTTTAATAAATGTATGTATGCACTTTTAATACATGTGTTATAATGAAAATAATTCTGTGCATTGGATTGGAATACATAGCAATCATACGGTTCTACAAGTTAATAATGAAAACGCGTTAATGAGAAGATCTGTACCTGCGTTAATAAGACTTCGCACGTTAAGAATAAATAAGAAAATGACACAATACGAACCGTAGTTAAAACCTAACAACTGTATTGTTGAAATTGATGAAGTATGTTTCTTTAATTTTTACCGGTCATTCAAACAATGTTTAATGATAATGAGATTTTGTAATTCAAATGAAACGTTGTATTTGACTTAAGCACTGCGAATGTTAAAGGGTGTTACTGTTAATGATGTGTTTCACGTTCAACTATACTATTTCTCACGTGTGATACTAACATGTTGACGCAGAATGCTTTACCTTCTTTTGAACTTTCTCATCTCATCGACTATATCTGTAAATGTGTTATAGCGAATTTTATAACATTTACGTACTACAGAAGTAAGTTTGATGTCTATTGCACTATGAATAGTGATTTGCTTTACATCAATGGGTGCTTATTCATCGCATTTGAATTAAGATGCCATGCATCCCGATTAGCTTTGTACCTACTAGCTATCTGATTTTCAATTTAAATGCCTATGTCTTTGCTAGAATCTATATTGGCAATGTAATAAATTGTCGTGGATGTACTGCAATGTAATAACTTTTCTGGGAACAGAGTGATACTTAAATTGATTTCAATGATGCGTTCATCTCATCATATATATATATTGTTCCCTAATTCCGAATTCTATATGATCAATATTTTTCTGTGATTCGATGAAAGCTTGCCGATAATAATTGTGTTCTGCAATGTTACATTTATTTCATGTATATTAAGTAGCTCGGTGTTAGCGTTCAATCAATCATGTCATATGTTTCTACTTGTTCATTTTGAATGTAGAATGTTTGTATAGGAAGATTCGATTGTTTCTATCTCTTCCATCATTCTATGAAGGATTTTATTCTTATTCGTATGTGTTATAATCTTACTTCGAGATTTATTATGCATTGCGGATTTCTTTTTTTTTTTTGATGATATCGGCAATTTCCCCAGAACTTGAAGTCTTCTGTGTTTAACTTCTGCAATAAATTGTAGGAACAATTTTCCGACAAAGGGGAGGGAATGTCGGTTATACTAATACTTGGTTTAAAAAGCCAATAGCTATATAATAAAAGCCTACTTAGCTAATTATGAGGTTATAACATGAGATTGTCCTATGGATCTATGACATCTGTTGGATCTCCTTTAGAGACACCAAGTGTTTAATTTGTACCAGCCTTATTGGTATCCAACCTAGTGATCCTCACTTTTAAATTACCGATACGAGGACGAATCTTTACCAGGGGGGGGACGTGTCAGGCTGTCTACCGTAACTCCCTTACTTGTGTTAGCAGTTACTGCGTCACTTCCGTGACGTCACTATAGCATGCCTATACAAGCTCCCCGAGCAGACCTTCAGTCAGTCTTAGGCAGCCACAGGCGAGACGTAGTAAAGCCATCACCATGTAGTCCGCACGATCACGGCCAGACTCCGGCGTCGAGTAGCCTCCGTCGTTAGAGTAACCATCTAAAACCTACCTTGTGTAATAACTACCAAGCTTCCTTGTATTCCTATCTAGTTCGTAAATATATTATTAGACAACTAGCCTCTCAATCAACCAGCCGCTTATTCGGACCTTAGATACGAACCCTTGGACCCTCAACTCAAACAAACCTAAGATGATCATCCGGTTATTAATCAATACTGAACTTTAAGATAATTATATATTATCGGGACAGTCAGACCAAATCACATCCTGACAATCTGGCGCCCGACCGTGTGATAAAGTGGCAGTGAAAATTGACTTTGAATATTGTGAAAATGATTATTCAAGAGAGTGCAAAGAACGAAAGTGAAGAAGAAGCCCGACAAAAACTTCGAAGAAGAACGTATACAACATCGTCTACAACGTCGTCGACGGATATACGAAATGCACAGGTAGAAATATCACCATGCGTAAAACGTGGGTGTCTGAGATATATCGGTTACATATATAATGAAAAGAAGAATCGCGATAATAGATTTCTTCTTCAATAAAATGATGTCTACAATTCTTCATAAATATTGAACGTCATCCTAACTAAAAGCGCTGTGAATATATTCTGCGAACGCTGAATATAAAAATCTTAGAAGACGAACATTCATCACGTCAGATGAGCGAAGATCTTATTCATCACATCAGAAGAGCGAAGAGCGTAGAGCGAAGAAAGTATGATGCTGGCAGCGGTCACGACTACCTGATTAGAATGAAGTTTCGTTAATTTCTACTTTTCTTTTAGTCTTGATGTAGTGATTGCAACCGAAGCTATGCTTATCGATATAGGGGGTTGCGACGATAAGATGATATTCATTCGCATGAATGAACTTTTCTCTCGATAGAGTTTTTATGTACTATTTACTGTCAGGTTGTTGCACGAGGGTCGGCACATTGAACAAGTTCTCACGCTGGCAGCTACGACTTGACAAGGAGAATGACACAAATAATCAGGTCAACACTTATATACTTAAAGACAGCAAATCCTACCCTAATACAGAGCTGGGACCAGTGGTCCAGAAATCCAACGTGTCAATTGAGACGATCGAGCTAGGCACTAATTACTAACTGGCTCGAAGTGGTTACTTGAAGCTAACACAGCAAGAAACAATTAAGGGTGGCTAACATGATAATGCTATTATTTCAATCGGTTCTAAAGGGGTTACATCACCGGCTGGAACGAAGGCGTGCGTCGGCAGACTTCCCCGGGACTCGTTCAGTCGAAACCGGCCGTAATTGGGTACGGCGTTCGTTTCTTCTCGGCGGTCTTTGTGATACGTCGTGATACGTGATGAAGGCGTGTGTTGGAAGACTTCTCCGGAGACCGGAACTCGTTCAGTCGTAACCGGGCAAATATTGGATTCGGCGTTCGTTTCTTCTCCGCGGTCTTTGTGATACGTCGTGATACGTGATGAAGGCTCTTCACCATTGCATTACAGTCGTTACCATTGCACCGGCATTGCCATTGCATCACAGTCGTTGTCATTGCATTGCATATGCTTCAGTTATGACTATCAAACGATCAAGTGTTATTCGGCACGCCCGTGTTGAGTTTGAAATAACTTAAATATTGAAGAATGCATGGCACCGACCTTATTTGTCTTTATTCGAGTAATGGATATAAAAAAATTTCTGATAGAATTATTCGATTTACGAATTTTCAAATCGAGTTGCCTGCTCTGACTGGTAAAAGGGATCCATATATACACGATTCCAAACGATTTCTGCGAATTCACGTTCGTATAACCGGACTAAGTTTCATGACTAATGTAAGGTTTATTTGCCCGCTATAAGCACTTTCTATTTGTCAACATTTCAATGGGGATGTCAAGTATCCGGACACGAGGTTGAGGAAGTCAGGTGCATGCGCGAGGCTGATGAACTCGAGCCAAACTCGTGTTGGCGGTTGCTGGTGGACGCGCGAGCGGCCGACATGATTATTCACATAAAATGAAATAAAATTTTTGATCATATGATAAAATGAAAAATTTTATGCAGATTTTTTAATATCATTGGAATTATTGTGAACATATTGTCGAAAATAGTATAGTTTTAAGGTCCTCGTTAAAATTAAACTTTAAAATTTCGTAGACTTCGTTAAAAGCCTAAAGCTAAAACTAGACTTAAAACTATAATTTTCGTTATATGATAAATTTCAGTACAGAGTTTAGGTCAAACTGCATTAATTGTCTGGCACCACCTTAGCGATTTTTAGGTATTAGAGGCTTGCGGTTTCGGGATTCCCTTCGAATGGAACCAAACTTCAAGTCACTCGACTAACCATCTTCAGTCTTCTCTAGCACCTCATCCTGTGACCAGTTCCTATAGCGGCCGTCGATTTGTTGTCAGTATCCCAGGACGCTACGACCGGAGTTTCGGTACTACTTTGTCGTTCGCACGTGATGGGAGTCATGAGGTGCTGAGTTCTCCACGTCCACATGTTCTCCTGAGCCCCAGTTGTACCACTTACCTGCTTCAGCCGACTGCACCAGCTTCAGCCTTTTATGAGACGTAAGTCCTCGGTACCACTTAGTCGTGCGGGTGTGTGCCAGACAGTTTCAGAGACTGCCATAGCTAAACTCTGCCCTCTGACCTCAAACTAAAATAAAGGTGTTGCCCATATTAAATTTAAATAATTATATAATAGATATTTAATTTTAATAAGTACACAATAAAGGATATTTAATTTTGATTATTACACAATATTGGATATTTAATTTTAATGGATAATAGAAGAAATTTAATATATTGCATGCTGGCATGCTATATCTTTGTTAATTGATAGATGGGCTGTGCCTTTCTTGCGAGCTGTGTAGTATGATGATAACCTGCGATCGTTCAAGCCACTGTGAACGAAGCACGACGTGTGTTCACGATTATAAATGGTAGTCGTATTTTACTCAAACGATACTGACAACTCGTCGAAAAAGTACAGTACACTGTGCTTATGACGTTTTGGCTGTTCTGGATGTGCTTGTAAGAGCAAATAAATTCGTTTACTTGATCAATCTGTGCTCCATTCACGATTGTTTGATAACAAATCAATAAGACAACTGTGAGGTTATAGAAATCACGTGATGTCTCTGTCTGACAAGGAAATGCATATTTGTGTTATCAAATCTGTGAAAATCAACTAATTCACTTCACTTCTGCTGTATTCTGAAATAATTTACCTTCTCTTTTCGGCAATGATGAAATAAATCTACCTCATTATAACCATTGAAAATGGATCATTAATCTTTGATCCATTTTCACTGTCATATAAAATAATTGAAAAACAACTAATTCACTTCACTTCTGCTGTATTCTGAAATAATTTTCCATCTCTTTTCTCGGCGATGATGAAATAAGTCTACCTCATTATTACCTTCCCAGGACCCGTGTGTTGGAGACGAGCTTTTTAATGGCACCGAGAGACTGGCGCGTTCATCAAGTCTGCTGGCGATGCCTTCAGCGCCTCCCACGCCGTCGCCCTTTGGCTGCTGCCACGTCCCCTACAGAGCGACGGTGCAGCAACGTCTGCGCCTCGTACAGGAGCTGCCCCTCAAGGATCAAATATTTGACTATTTATTGCAGGCACGTTCTGCTGCTTAGCATAATTTTGAACCCCTTAGGCTGATATAATTAGAGCGCTGAAGTCATCTGTGATCAATTTATTAAATATTTTATATCTATTATATATATTATACTCTATAATATAAGTGCATTTAAGGTGTTTGTTACCAGGGAAAGCCAGGCGTCCAAGAAATTGACGGGAAACAACCAACCTGGTTTTTATAGACTGTTTTTTTTACAGGTGCTACAAGGCACAGGACTGTTGGAGTACAGTCCAATATTCTACGGCTTCTACACTAAAGAGACTATATATGTGGTAAGAATCACTCATTTCTACGAATTATTAGTTTACAAATCAATAAATACATCAAGATTTAATACTTAGATAGATTGGCGTTCCAGTAAGAAAAGCTAAAAATAATGTCAATGCATATACCACTAATTTCCTTGCGAAAGAAACCAAAAATAGACTTTTCTTAAAAAAATAATTATGCAAATGCTTACACCACAAATTGCCGTATTATATACATGGGATATACAAATTTCCTGCACTCATCTCGGCAGCCATGGGGTGACACGACGAAGAGCTACGAGCTCCCCCTCGCGTACCTCAGCGCGATGTTGTTCCTGATGGCTTTCTGCCTCGTCGTCATGGTGAGGAAGGCTGCTCAAGGGCTGAGGGAAAACCTGCGCTCTACCGAGGGAGAATTTTATCAGGTCAGTGTTTTTCCCCTTCGAAACTTGCTTTTAGTTGCATTTGGACCTGTTTTCAGTTCCGTCGCTAAACCGTGACATTTTAGAGGTAATCCTTGAACACTACACCAGCATTGAATTCTTAAATTTGTAAAAATTACAGAACGATCATGTCTTGAATGTGCATTATATAGATTGCTAAGTAATTAATTTATAGCCATGAAGAAGAATGCACTCAGACACACGGTATAATTATGGAGCGACAATATATGAACGGATACACTTATTAACTTACTATGTTGAATCACAAAAACTTGAAATTGACCTTTACTATCACGAGCTTGCTAATATTTTGGAACTATGAAAATTACCGCTTTATCTATATTGAATAGATCAACCACAGTTCTCTGAATTCCACTCTACTTAGACCACCGTTTACACAAATCGACCCCCATAATGAAATTAACTCATTGATAGCCTTGAAGATAAATGAAATTCAGAGAAATGAGAGAGACTTGGTAAAAATATCGCTGAACTTTTTGCTCTGCGTGCATTACTCTGACCCAGTTTGCCCCCTGGCAAAAGGACATATCAGGGTTGCGTGCTGAAAGTGAGTCACTATATGGACAAGATGGCCCATTAATTTATCCGAGTGTGTGCAGGTATGCAACCTAATCTTCGGAGGTTGGGACTTCTGCGTTGACAACAACAAAGCGGCGCGCGTCAAGCACCGCGCCATCTACAACGAGTTCTGTCGACATCTCGACGCTGAGCGCTTCAGGGAGGAGAAGGAAATGCGATCACGTAAAGAAAGGTCATTCCCTTGTATTTTTTCCGATTCATTTTTTTTTTCAGATTCCTCCATCAATATGCGCTTCCAAGAGATTATTTATTATCAGAGCCTATTCTACTGAGCGGTATCAACAATTATCGCATTTAGTAAAGAAGACAAAGTAGTAATTAAAAAAAATAGTTGCGTCCACGAATGCGTTTTACATCTGAAACTGCAAATCCCCTCCGCCATATCGGCCATCACACTTCGTACCACCTATACCGCATCCTGTAGACAAGTCGAGGTTTTAACCACAGACTGACTCGGTGCAGATCTTTCCCTACGTCCTATTAGGGGCTGTTTGTTCTTGGCATTTTTGTTCAGCTAGCGCTAATGAGTTTAATATGATAATAATAATATTGTTCAATTGACGACAGGCTTTAGAATATCACATCTCGTTTTCATTTGACTAGTACAGGTAAACTGATGAGATTTGCTACAACGACGAAATTGGATGAGATTTATACATTGTGTTGCCATGGGCCTTCAGCCACTAATAAATTTGTGCTTTCCTCTCACCGCCACCCATTTGCTCGCTGCTCTTATGTACAAGTAGAATTTATTCTGTACGAATATTTATTTTCTTTGTTCCCAAATTAGTATGTGCTTGCTGGCAAACCAGACATACATCTGTTGATCAACGTGCTGGTGCTGGGGATCATCGTGGGTGCGTTCGTGATGGTCTGGTACGTCACGACCTTCTCCTTTGGTCAGCTGCGTCTGGCACAGGCGTCTGTCACTGCCGTGAGTTGTTATAATAGGAAACTTTTTAAATATTTTTGGATTTAATAATATATTTTATAAAATACTAAAAATTTTCAATGAAAACTTCCTAAATTTTTATCATAAAAAAATTCTTAAACAAATAAAGCTATCCAAATTGTACGATATGTGGGTTTTCAACCTACGAACCATTTCGAACTTTGTCTTGATACGGCATTGAATATTCTTTGCAATCAGTACCGACTTGATTATGTCTACTCCTTGCTATTCTCTGACGTCATATACTAGGATTAATTTCAACTTTTAAACTTGATTTTCTGACCGTAAGTGGCCGCAATGAGTATAATATTTACTAAATTCTTCTCTGGGTTACTGAAAAAGCAATGACTTGTAGTTTCATTGATTTTCTCTTTAAAACGCGAGCATGCATAGAAGAGAATTGTATGTAATTAGAAATGAATGCATTTTTGGATATTTTGGTTGACCGCTTTGGCAAAAATTGCACCTGAGAAATTTATGGGCCAATAGTTTTTTGTAATTTGTAGCAATAACAATAAGTTACTTATTGTAGCAATAACAATAAGTTTTTTAACCTAGAAGAACCCCTTTCTTTTCTCAGGGCAACAACGCCAGTTATGCAAGTGCTCTGACATCGAGTAATTCATCGCGTGAATTCCTCGACTCTTACTCCGAAGTGACGTTTGGAATCAACAACAGCCATGCAACCGGTCCAATATTTGTGGGGAGTGAACACGTCACCTTCACTCCTGAGGCTGCCAGCAATGCTGCTGACACTACCTGGAGAAGTGTTATGACGTCACAGGATGTTGTCAGTGCTGAGTACGATACTGCCTTCGATGCTGACGATGTTGTCTATGACACCCAAACGCCTATTGATGCCGTGGGTGTGGTGATTGTACCTGACACGTCAAATGCAGTTCTTGTTGAGTCACAAGTGGAGTTTGTGCCTGACTCATCAAATGCAGTTCCTGTTGAGTCACAAATCGAGTTTGTGCCTGACACATCAAGTGCAGTGCAAGACGAATCGGACCAATTGCGCGTAGCATCGACATCAGGAGCGGCGCAGGTTCTGCGCTCTACGCCCGTTGCTCGCCTGGTCACGGCTTCTTCTTCAAGTTTCACTCCCCTTTTGACAAACGCCAAAACCACGAGCGCCTTCAGTGTCGATGAAGGCCTCGAGAAAGTTTCCGAAGAGCCTGCATCTGGGGACGACTTGCATCCCCTGCTCATGCTGGTCTATAGGTACCTGCCTTCTGCCACCATCATCGCCCTTAACATCTTCGTGCCCTTGCTTTTCAAGTGAGTCAATTATATATATTAGGTTTACGAATTGGCATTAGCATCAATATTTGTACTTTTCTGTGAATGAATACATTTTTAATTACATTAAATATTCTTTTTATTGCACTCTATACTTTCGATAATGTCTTAGAGAATTAGTAAATTTGTTATTTCAGTTATGTGAATTTAACCATTTTGTGAGTGTGTTCATAGAATTTAACCCTAATTTTGTTCTATGCTTATGATAGCACTTTTCAGGCTTTGGGTCAATAATGTCTCGTATGTCTTGCTTTGAGCTCGATCAAATTTGACGGTTCCTTTTCTGAAAACTAAAATTATCAAATTAGCTTATATTTCGCTTATATATAATTGCTTTATATATTAAAACCTATCTGTACTTCGTCATTGGGCATTGTGCTGAATTTCTAGAAATTTCCCTCTATATTTTATTGTCGTGACTATCAGCTACAAAGTAGTTACACTAGATTGTTCCAGCTGAACTGTCTGACGTTTGTGACGCGACTGTCAGCTGAGTTTCAGTTTAACTAATGCTATCTGTGCCATAACAGTCAGCTAGTTTTGCTGGAGCGCTACAGCACAACTGTGGTGCTGCGGCTGACGCTAATGCGTACAGTGGTGCTGCGGCTAGCGTCACTGGGCGTGCTGTTGTACGCCTTACGCAGCTTCACCCTACGCAGCTACACCGTCGACTGCCCTACACCCTCCCTGCACAACTGCGCCTCGTAAGTGTGCTAACTGCGGCAGTGCTTTTGAAATACGCTTTTGTACACAAAGCGAATTAAGTACACGTAACAGCCTACGTACACGTAGCGGTCGACTTCTCGTCTGTGATTAGTAGGTTTAGCTTGAAAAGACAGTGAATGGCTGGCTAATTTTGATTGTACGGCTACTGGAAACGATCTTGTCTTTTAACTGAATCTTCTTGTAGTCGTTGCTTGGGAAATTTTTTGATATATAGCGTCATGTTGGCGTAAAATGCTTCCTCAGTGAAAAAATGAAACTTTGTATGTATAATTTTTTTTATCCAAATGAAATAAAGCAACTAACTTTTTACCAAGGATATGACGTGGATGTTTGTCGATGGCAAGTGTCCAATGTAAAGAGCAAGTGCTGTGCTTGGAGACGTACGTTGTTTTATTTGCTTTCCTTATGGAAAAGAAAGCATCTATCTTTTTTTTTCTAAAATATGACGTTAATGCTGTTTTTTTTCTCAGTGCCAACTGTAAAGGGCAAGTGCTGTGCTGGGAGACGTACGTGGGACAGGAGCTGTACAAGCTCACTCTCCTCGACCTCGCCGTCACTGCCTTCAACACCTTCTTCGTGAACCTCCTCAGAAAGGTGGGTATCCTATGTACGTATGTCACCCTGAACAACGTTCAGGGTGACATACGTACGCCTTGGGCAACAACGTTCAAATTATATAACAAACCGTTCCGGTGAATACAGAAATGACATGGGAAAATCAATAGAGCATACTTGCGTGTAATTAAATATATATAGAAATTCTACCTTTGAGGTAAAACGCAAGCAGTTTTCCACCATGTAATAAACAATTCTTGAACATTGAATTGGAAATTGGCCGTGAGATCGGCCGAGAGTCTGGCCGTTAATTTGTCCGAGACGTAAACCCAGGAGAGGTTAAAAAACAGATCTGGGTGAAAAACCCATCGCTGGAAGTCATGTGCTGCACGTGTTGTGTACAAATCGTCAAACAAACGTTCGAACTTCTGACTTTGGACTACCGCTCCCCTATCGCCCCCCTACCGTCCTCTTCTTCCTTACCGCCCCCCAAAATCTTTCCATCGCCCCTAGGGGGGCGATATCGCCCACTTTGGGAACCACTGGCCTAAATCATTCCAACGAACGGAATCACATTAGCTTTAACATCTGACAAAGCTGTTTTCCAATGTGGTCATTTTCCATTGTATTGGAGACCATGTAAAGAAAAGAGCTCAAAATACAATAAATATTTTATTTCTCTATCTAAAGTTATTGTATCGTTGATGTACGAAAATTAATTGCGTAATTATGAACTGTATCTGCAGTCAACACGATGGGCCGCAGCACCTGGCTATAACATCTGACAATGCGGTTTTCCATGTGGTCATTTTCCATCCTGACAATGCGAAGGATAGACTTCATAAAATAATACATATTTTATTTTTTTATTTAAAGTTATTATGTCGTTGATGCACTAAGATTACTTGCGTAATTATGAACTGTATCCGCAGTCAACACGATGGGCTGCGGCACGGTGCACAATGCAGAGAAAAGAGCTCAAAATACAACAAATATTTTTATTTCTTAATTTAAAGTTATTGTATCGTTGATACACGAGAAATTAATTGCGTAATTATGAACTGTTGTCGCAGTCAACACGATGGGCCGCGGCACAGTGCAGCGCCGGCGCAGGTCAAAATACAATAAATATTTTATTTCTTTATCTAAAGTTATTGTATCATTAATGCACGAAGATTAATTGCTCAATTATGAATTGTTGCCGCAGTCAACACAATGGGCCGCGGCACGGTGCAGCGCCGGCGCCGGCGGTCGACGCGGCGCCGGCGGGCGGACCAGCAGGACCACGTGGACGGCGCCGGCCGCACGATGCTGTCGGGGGCGGCGGGTGCCAACGCCACGTGGGTGCGCACCGGCAGGAGGGGATCCGATACGTACCTGGAGGTGCTGCCTGACCTTACTAAGGGTGAGTCTTGATGTCTTGATATGTCTTAGCATTTTATAAGCATTACTATAGGCTTAAAGTATGAGAAAACGTGTAATTTCTCACTGTTTTGAATCATAAAACTTGGTTCCATTAAGTTAAAAAGCATGACCAAAAGGCATTAACTTGTACAATTGAAGAAAACATGGAAATTTCTTTACTGTTTCGAATTATAATAATGCGTTAATTAAATGCACAATACACGAGAAGCGTGGACGTGTAGCAGACATGGGAAAAAGTGAAGTTTATTTACTGTTTCTAATTATAATTCTATGTGAAATAAAGGCCCAATACACGACAGGCGTGGACGAGGAGCAGACATGGGAGGAGCTGCAGGAGGTGCGATGTCAGCCCGTGTCGCTGAGCGAGAAGCGCAGGCTCAAGCGTCAGCTCCTGGCGGCGCCTACGCTGCGTACACGCGGCTGGCAGGCTGTGCATCTCACGCGTCGCAAGATTACCAAGAGGGTCAGATTAATTGCCTTCTTATTCATGATTTACTAGTAACTTTTGCTGTCTGATTGTGACTTATTTATAACTTTTGCTATATGTCCCTTACTAATAATTTTAGTTGTCCGTTTGTGCCCTACTACTAATTTTGTTGTCTGTTTGTACTTTACTACTAATTTTGTTTTCTGTTTGTGCCTTACTAATATTTTTTCTTATTGACTTTTGCCGTATTAATAATTTTTGTTGTCCGTTTGTGCTCTATTAATCTTTTATTATCAATTTCAATGCCGAGAAGGCGGATTTTTTGTCGTAGGGTCCAAGTTAGTTAGGTCAACTGTTGTTTCCTGTTTGATGTTTATGCGGCAAAAGCCTGTTATTATTGCTATGGTAATCAAGATATTGTCGATATGGGGCAACAAAAAAAAAATACTTTATTTGCTGGTGAAGTGATCGGTTTTCTGGCGCCATGAATTGCAGTTTGCATGTTACTATTACATGCTTCTTTTTTTAAGAAAATGCTAGTTTTTAAACAACGTAAGCCCCACAGCCCCAAAAAACATGACTTATTTGCTAGTGGAAAGATCGGATTTTTAACGTCATTAATTACAGCATGAATATTTTCATTCCAAGCTTCGTTTTTATTCTGAAAAGTCTTTATTTTTTCTAACATTACCGTAAATAATATTATTTTCCTCGGTACAGCTGAGCGTGCGAGTGCGGGGGTGGCTGTCACACCTCGAGCTGTGGCGGTCGAAGCTACGCTACGTGGAGGGTATGATTAGAATGAAGTTTCGTTAATTTCTACTTTTCTTTTAGTCTTGATGTAGTGATTGCAACCGATGCTATGCTTATCGATATAGGGGGTTGCGACGATAAGTATTTATATTTATTTCAATACAACCGGTTATTTCGACACCTATTTTAATCTCATCAATCGCATGAATGAACNAGCTAGTTAAATATGATAATAATATTGTTCAATTCACAACAGGCTTTAAAATATCACACCTCGTTTTCATCTGACTAGTACAGGTGAACTGATGAGAGTTGCTACAACGACGAAATTGGATGAGATTTATACATTGTGTTGCCATGGGCCTTCAGCCACTAATAAATTTGTGCTTTCCTCTCACCGCCACCCATTTGCTCGCTGCTCTTATGTACAAGTAGAATTTATTCTGTACGAATATTTATTTTCTTTGTTCCCAAATTAGTATGTGCTTGCTGGCAAACCAGACATACAAGAAGTAATTCGATAAATAATTTCATGTTATTTAAATTTTCAGATTTGTTGTCAAGTTCATTTTGGGGGTTTTCAATACGCCATTGTTACTCTGGTCATTTTTTTACTTGACTTTTATGTAGCGAGGCCACTTTTAGGGGAAAATTATTAATTTCTTCGTAATAATGAATGGTTTGCAATGGATACTCACTGTATTAATGCTTCAACTGCCCTCCTGCAGACTTTGCCTGTATTTGATGCGTCTGTTGATCAACGTGCTGGTGCTGGGGATCATCGTGGGGGCGTTCGTGATGGTCTGGTACGTCACGACCTTCTCCTTCGGACAGCTGCGTCAGGCACAGGCGTCTGTCACCGCCGTGAGTTGGTATAATAGAAAACTTCCTAAATATTTTTAGGATTTATTGAAATATTTAATACAAAAATAATAAAAAACTACCTAAATTTTTGTCATAAAAACTTCTTTTAAATATAAAACTTCCCATATTGTACGAGTTGTGGAATTTCAACCTATGAAGCATTTCAATCTTAGGCATAAAACGGCATTGAATGTCCTTTACAATCATGAGTGACTTGATTATTTTTACTCCTTGCTATTCTCTGACGACACATAGGTTTCGATTCAACTTTTAAACTTGAAATTGTGACCAAAATAGGCTGCAGCGAGTATATTATTTAACACATTCTTCTCTGGGTTACAGAAGCAATGACTTGTAATTTGATTGATTTTCCCTTTAAAATGCGAGCATGTACAGAAGACAATTTGTATTGTGAACGACAGAAAACTGTCATTCCCAAAAATACTTGCTTTTAATTATTCACGTGTTAGGTTTTTAGGGCTATCTGCTAAACCATTGTTATCGTTCACAAAATGTAAGAGATCGCACGCGTCAAGTAATCTTGTAATACGCACGAACCAGCATTTATACTGATGATGACTAGGAGAGTTACAGCTAGAAACGGCATTAGGTTAGATAGATGAAGCAGAGTTGACTGAAATTTATATATTGTCCTGGCCTCGAGCTGGAGCTACAAGAGTTCGCCCCCTGAAAGTAGCAAACTTTTGGTTCAACTAACGTTAGTTAGCTTGTAGCAGCTCTGGCCGGTGACAGTACATAATATGTAATTAGAAATAAATACATTTTTGGAGATTTTGATAGACTTGTACCTGAGAAATTATAAGCCAATCGTTTTTTTTGTAGCTTGTAAGCAATAACCGTAAGATTTTAACCTAAAAGAATCCCTTTCTTTTCTCAGAGCAACAACGCCAGTTTTGCAAGTGCCCTGACATCGAGTAATTCATCGCTTGAATTCCTCGACTCTTACTCCGAAGTGACGTATGGAATCAACAACAGCCATGCAACCGGTCCAATATTTGTGGGGAGTGAACACGTCACCTTCACCCCTGAGGCTGCCAGCAATGCTGCTGACACTACCTGGAGAAGTGTTATGACGTCACAGGATGTTGTCAGTGCTGAGTACGATACTGCCTTCGATGCTGACGATGTTGTCTATGACACCCAAACGCCTATTGATGCCGTGGGTGTGGTGATTGTACCTGACACGTCAAATGCAGTTCTTGTTGAGTCACAAGTGGAGTTTGTGCCTGACTCATCAAATGCNAACTGTAAAGGGCAAGTGCTGTGCTGGGAGACGTACGTGGGACAGGAGCTCTACAAGCTCACCCTCCTCGACCTCGCCGTCACTGCCTTCAACACCTTCTTCGTGAACCTCCTCAGAAAGGTGAGTGTCCTATGAATGTTACTCTGAATCATCCATTGGGTAACAATGTTTAAATTATACAACAAACCGTTTCGATGAACACAGAAATGACATTGAAAAATTAATAGAGCATACTGGCGTGTAATTAAATTGCGTGTAGAAATTCTACTTTAGGGATAAAACGCAAGCCGTTTTTCACCATGGAACTGTTTAAAAAAAATAAGACTGTTTTTAAAAGTTTAATTCTTCCTAAATTAAAAGCATGCTCAATAGAGCATACTTGCGTGTAATTAAATATATATAGAAATTCTACCTTTGAGGTAAAACGCAAGCAGTTTTCCACCATGTAATAAACAATTCTTATAAGTATTATTTTTTTTGAAATTATTGAGTTAAACTATTTCAGGTGGTGGGACAACATCTCCTGAAGCGCACGTCATTCGGTCAGCGGGTGGGAGCGATGGAGTTCGAGATTCCCAAGCATGTGCTGGACATTGTCTACGGCCAGACCTTGTGCTGGCTCGGCATGTTCTACGCGCCCCTCCTGCCTCTCATCACCGCCTTCAAGCTCGGTGCGGCCACCGTCGCGCGTCACAAGCGCTTGATGTTATGACTTAGTGACTCGTGACAACGTTGAATATTAGGACTCTGTCGCTTGCAATGGCGTTGATATTGATTGTGACTCGTGATACATTTAATATTACTTCTTCGCTTGCAATGGTTTTGATATTGTGACTCCGTCTTTCGTGGCAGCTTTGAATATTATGAAATATGATAGACGCTTGAGGAGCATAATCGATTCAAGTTCTTTAGAGGCCTTTATGAATCAGGATGACAGGGTAGATGAATGCTGGGATTAGTGATCGCAGTTTGAGTGATGGACATTCCCAGCTTGGTTGCAGAGTGGAATATATTAGAATTTGCTTCCTTCCATACATTCATATAAGTTGCAAAATTTAGCAACTCCTCCCCATAGCACTACCGTAAAACGGTGGGACTTGGACCATTGATGGGGTGACTTGGACCATTGATTGGGTGACTTGGACCATTGATGGGGTGACTTGGACCATTGACGGGGTGACTTAGACCATTGATTGGGTGACTTGGACCATTGATGGGGTGACTTGTACCATTGACAGAGTGACTTGGACCATTGATGAGGTGACTTGGACCATTGACAGAGTGACTTGGACCATTGACAGAGTGACTTGGACCATTGATGGGGTGACTTGGACCATTGACGGGGTGACTTGGNGTTACCAACTTGCTATCGTCCTGTCTCTTATACACATCTAGATGTGTATAAGAGACAGGACTTGGACCATGGACGGGGTGACTTGGACCATGGACGGGGTAACTTGGGCCATTGACGGGATGACTTGGACCATGGATGAGGTGACTTGGGCCATTGATGGGGTGACTTGGACCATGGATGAGGTGACTTGGGCCATTGACGGGGTGACTTGGACCATGGATGAGGTGACTTGGCATTGATGGGGTGACTTGGACCATGGATGAGGTGACTTGGACCATTTTGTCATTCAAGAATGGAATACCCTGTAACTCGAAAAGTTTATGCCTTAGAAAAATTGTGTTGATGGCGCTTGAAGTATATAGAGGTATATTTAGATATATTAGAAGAGATATATTTTATATATTTACTACCTATGTGACTATTTTTTTCATAAAAAGTACCAGCGCTAAAAATGGTCCAAGTCACACCGTTGTATGCTTCATTATTCATTATTGCATTCTTCTTGTGTAATTTTGCGTGAAAAATTACTGAAACAATTTACCGATTTGACAAGAAATAAGTCAAATTTCAAGTTTATTTTGTGCTAAATATATATATTCAGGTCTATCAAAAATTTAATTACCAACAGTTGCTGTTGAGCCCATTGTACGTTAAATTACCAATATATCACAATTTCAAAAATTATATGGAACATATTTTTGACAACATTGAAAAAATTCTTTTAAATAATGTCTTTTTCATTCTTGATGTTGCATAACAAATTTTCTCTTTGGTCACTTAACTGACATTGCGCCCTTTTACAATCGCTGGAAAAAATGTATCCTAATATTTGATATCTCCGAGCAGTGCTCGTGTTCTACATCAAATACTTCGACTGTAGCTTCAACAGTCGGCAGTCGTCTCAGTTCTACCGCACCTCGCGCTCCAACGCGCTCTTCATCTCCATCTTACTCATCTCCTTCATCGTGACCATCATACCAGTCGGCTACTCTATAGTGGACCTCACCCCTTCCCTGGGGTGTGGGCCCTTCAGGGGACTCGACGCTATCTGGACCCAGATGGTCAACCTCATTAGCGGTGAGACTCATTAGCAGTAAAAACTGATTTGCGGGGAGACCCTCGTTACCGGTGAGAACTCATTAGTGGGGAGACCCTGGTTAGCGGTGAGACCCCTGTTATGTTAGCAGTGAGACCCTTATTAGCGGTGAGACCCTTGCAGTGAGACCCTCGTTAGCAGTGAGACCCTCATTAGCAGTGAAAACTCATTAGCGGGCAGACTCTCTTTAACGGTGAGAATTCATTAGCGAAGATACCCTCATTAGCAGTGAAAACTCATTAGCGGGGAGATGAGAACTCATTAGCGGGGGACTCTCGTTAGCGGTGAGTCCCTCGTTAACGGTGAGTCCCTCGTTAACGGTGAGTCCCTCGTTAACGGTGAGACCCTCGTTAACGGTGAAACTGATGGACATCAAGTCAGTATTATTGGACTGTGCCTTAATATTTGTCGATCTGGATATATATTTCAAAGAAAATGAAACCATTGTTGTAAGATTTATGAACAATGTACGTTAAGTACTTGTAGTTTTTCATCGCGCTCTTCACCTGCCCTTTTATTAATATTATGACCTTATGTTGCAGCGCTGCCTGAGTGGATACAGTCTGTAGTTTTCTTCCTCGGCACCGCGGGCTTCGCAGTGCCCACGATTGTGCTGCTATCGCTGGCAGGTTATTATTACTACGCCGTAGCTTCAGCCAATCAGCACTTGGTGCTGATGTTAAAAGGGCAACTGGTGCTCGAAGGCCACGACAAACAGTTCCTGCTCAACAGACTTGATCTGCTCATCAAGCGCGTCAACGAGGACGATGACAGGAGGCGGCGCCATCACAGGCGAAACTCAGACGTGTCGCCTGGTGCCAGTAACGACATCACGCTACAAATCGGTGCCTCGCGATAGTGGCATTATAGTAGCTACTTCTGATCATCATGTTGGCAATTTTCAACTTTAGGGTTTTTTTTAACTAGAATAGTTCGAGTGAATTTCGAATTCAAAACCGGCGCCTGTGACTCAGCTGATGAGAACCGGATAATGGTCTCAGTGCTAGAGCATGTGCAATCAAGTCCTTTGTGATGAACTCACAATTTTTTACTGTAAAAAAATTTCTTACTCTGACTATGTTTTATACGCCAGTAACGACATCGCACGCCATGTGGCCGCTTAATAATAGGAATAATATCCTCGTTGTAGCGTCGGCTGAAGTAGTGGGTGATTGGTTAGAGATTAGAGCTAATTCATAACCCACGCCGGCAGATTTTATCATGAGAAAAGTTTGGCTGTATATTTTGTTAACGACATAGTGGCGTTTGATGGTGAATTCGCTGCCGGTGTCAATTTTATTCATATTCAAAATGATTTGGGAAAATATTTATTGATGCAGTGTCCACTACTGAAATTATGTCGGTGAAACTAAATAATCGTGATTTAGATATTCTAGATAAAAATTTGCTTATTTATATATATTTGGTTGAATTTTGACTGAAAAGGATTGACTAACGAAATCTTGTTCATTGTGGAGTTATCGTCTTTTTTGTTCCACTTCCTACCGTTATGCAGTCAAGCATGACACGGATAAAAACCACAAGGAAATATATCTAAGCAAACTAGGTACAGAATACATGTATCTAATATCCTCATTAACTAGATAATGAACACATCCAAGAATTGTATACTTTTTACTATTGGTATTCTATGCATTCCTCACCGATGTTTGATATTTATTATCTTATCGCGAATCTCTTCAAAGAAAGCTAGTCGACTGATCGTTACCCATACAGATTCACGAGGTATTTATCCGATTAAGTGTTGGGTGCGGAGAAGCATTCATGAGCAGTCTTGAATCTCGCAGTGATCGTCCAAGTGACGGTTGGATCTCATTAAACAATTCTTGGGTATTAGTTACCGGCCCAGTATTCATGTAGAATGAAGTTGCTTCATTTGTTGATTGTTGTTTACGTTGTTGTTGTGGTGAATTGAGCGCCATCTTGCCAGAACGCGACCCAATCGTGTATGATCAGATCTTTTCATAGTTAATTAATTTATTAACCGTACACATTTTGTATGTCTTACACCTGCACGAATCCAATATATTATAATTGACATGTAATATCTTTGTCAATGTTTTGTTCTGTACATTGTGTCACTATCAACTTGTCTTCTTAAAATGCAAATTTGTATCGAAAGGCGAAACTTTCTCAAGTGGCTTTTGTAATGTATGAGGAGTTCCAGGTTATAATGTATTACTAAGTGTCATATTTATTGCGCATTAAATGCTCAAGACGTTGATACTCATGTGCATTCCTAAGTAATGTAGCATAAGCATTCTTTCCTGTATTCTGTGCTAGCGCCAACGTCATCCCATGCATTCCGTTTTAATTTCTACGTGACCTTAGCCTGGTTCATGAGCACGAACATTTTTTCAAATTCATATTATAAATTACAAAAAGTCAATTATTAAGTGCATTCTACACAAATTTTGAAAGTTCTGGTAATTCTTTTGAAAAGGTTAAATGAAGCGTATAAAAGTTACCAACTTGCTATCGTCAGCATTACGTTGATCTATTTTAATTCTCTGAAATAGTACCTAGTTACTTAACTATCAATGGTCGCATTATTACTGAAGTAGCTTTGTCACAACATAGTGATAATTTTCTCAATATCTCCTTTGGGTAATTATACTCCGGCAACTGCCTTACCTTCCATTCTCTCGAATGTTTTTATGTCGGCCAGTGTAAATGTATCCAGTTCTATCACATTGCTTGCTATTACAGCTGCTTAGCAGTTCAGCGAACAGCTTTTTTATTATAGCTTTATATTATAGTAGATTGTTGATAATGTATGTTGGTTGCCAAAGCATTGCAACGGGTGAGAACAAGAAGTTTCTTTTTCTTCTGTTCACTTTACGTGCAGTAATATTATAGCTCAAGATTTTGAACAAAAACTTAAGTCAAGTTGCGCCTGTTGAGCGGATACAAGAAACATCTTATGTGTCGACGTGAAATATTAGCAGAAAGTTGGGTTTTCTAGCCGTACATAACCATGAATTGTTACGATTAGATTCGGATGTACAAAATTTCAAAAATGTACCGTGTAAAGTGCATTTGTATGTTATTTAATAATGTATTTGTTTGTAACGCAGTATGTTAATACCGTATTCTGTGCATGCAGTCTGCCTTTCCTTTATCACTTACTGTGCACTTGTAAAGGCTGCACTACAATCTACTATTCCCGGCGCGAAATAGACTACCTGATCTGAAGCGCTAGAAACCTCTCCCTACTACTACTAAGATATGCTACTGTATATAAAAACCGCCCTTGGGATACGAATCCACTTATGCTGAACATTTTATAATTTATTTACTTTGCGTTGTATGTTGTGAGATTTATTATAAATAGTAGATTCCCATAAATTCGAGCTGTTAGAGAAATGTAATGACAATATGGCCTGGAAAACGAAATTAAATTCTGGACATCACCGGTATGGCAAATTTTCCCTTTCAATAAATTCACATTTGTGGAAAGTGCAGCCATTTTTATATGAAGTTCTACATAAAATCTTGCGTGCATCTTGTGCTTGTAATACGTATAAATTTGTGTAAATTCAGCCTTCATTAACAACCTCAGGTCTTTGATGTTCAAATATTCAATGATGTAAACCTTTTCAGCTTTAGGAGACTTCTTTATACTCGCCGGAGTTTTTAGCAGTATATCTGAAATTGATAGCTCTCATTTAGGCTTAAAATTCATAGATTTACTAGCGTTTGAAAAATATATAAGAAGAGAAGTATGAAGATAACATAATTATCTTCATTACGTCGTGATGAAGATAATTGAATAATTTTTTTTTACTGATAACTATTCAAGAATTACGTGTCGTCTGTCAGGTGTCTTGTCCTGAAGCGTGAGTCGCACGCCATTCGTGTTGGCGTTGTGATGGATGTTGTCTGTTAACCGCCCTGTTCGCGCTTCTTAATTAATGGAATCTCGGGTTGAAATGCTTTTCCAGGACTGGAGCCTTGCTTGTTATTCTTGAACGTATCTTTGTTTCATGAAGAGAAAAATCTTGATGCAGTCAATTATAGAGAATAACTTCGAGCATTTCATATGGAGAAATTATTGCAGTTAATCTAATGTGTATGATATCTTCCTTAGATTTGCATAATAACTATTGCTTAGCGCTCAAAATGTAGTTTAAGAGTATTTTTGAAGCAAATCTCATGGTCATGTCGCCGTGAATTGAGTAAATATCGTTTATAACCACGCAAATAGAAGCTAGCGCACCAGGTTCAAGTTGTTATAGCACGAGAATCTTATAAAGTTTGGTTGTTCATGAACGGGCCTGTGCCCAGAACGGAGCGATTTCATCTCTCTTCCTTCACAGCTTAAAACATCCACCGTCATTGCGCTATTTATTTTTTATTGTATTTATGGTCCGTTCTGCGATAACCCCAAACCTTTGTTGCCGTTTAACTTTTATTCCTTGAGATCCTTATGATGTGATGTCGTTGTGTTCTAATGCCTAAGTACGTTTGAAAAAAGTATCTCTTAATGTGACGTGACATTTTTTTTTGTGTTATCTCGTCCGTAACCATTCTCCAATAACTTGTCGCATTGTTGTGCATTGTGAGTAATGAGCGAGTCATATTTATAATGCTCACCACAGCAAGGCGTACTATATGATTTCATACTAATCGCGTATCAGAAATAATGTGTGCAACACATGCAAGGTGTCAGCTAATTGGAAGTTACTTTGTTACGGAGACCAACCCGGAAATTGTGACGCGTAGCGAGTTCAATAATTTGCTAAAGTTGAAGAAATTTTTGCTGTCAGAATTTTTGCTTGTGAAAAATGTAGCCCTTTGCAATACTTAATCAATGGATGCTTCAGTAATTATGTATAGAATCGTGCTATTCTCATTGTGATCGTAAGAAATATCAACACTAAACCGATATTTGCCATACTGTCTACAGTGTAATGTTGAATGCTTCGCCCGCACGCTTTTGTCGTTCGTCAAGTGTACCAAATACTGATTGTGTTCAGAATAACGACTTGTCGCTTGTGGGACTTAGCTTCACTCCGTGCATGTGACATGCGGTGAGAACAGTTTAGTAATTTTTCTAATTTTGATTAGTGCTTTTTTGCAATTTTTTTAACTATCTAAAATGCACTGTAGCCGTTCAGTAAGGTATGAATCCATGATCCGATCTTGATTCGCGATTTTATAGGTAATATTACAAGTAAACTTTACTCCTTGAAATGTGATCAGTTTAAAATTGTTCAAGTTTGATGCATTTCGTATTGTCAGTTGCTGCCTTTCCATTCAATTTACAACCCGCAAGCCAGGTCGGGGTGTCAATTGTAAAGATTGGAAACACTTCAGATAGCTATCGATCATAATTAACAATTTTCCTTGTGTAAAAATATCAAGATTACTTGCTATCGATAATAATTCTTTTCACAATTATAAAAATCCATCCGACTTTTTAAATATATTACCGATTATTATCATTATACCGTGATAGCACATCAAGAAAAAGTTGAAAATTAACTAATTTTTTTCATTAAATGTAATCTGGCAAAAACATGCTGCTCATTATTTTCGCAATTTTAGCCATTAATAGTAGAGTACCATATTCCGATTCTTAACTCAGCCGAAGTTCCCATTTTACGCCAGGGAGTGGGGAAGAAAAACGACTTTATAACAAAACTTTATGTAAAGACACCAACGTCAATCAGGGCACACGCGTTCACTTACTATAGACATCACTAAGGATTGTGGAATCAGGCTTTATTAATTTAACCTAAAAAGCTAATTCAATCAGAAACTTTCTAACTGGCATGTGTCAACCAGAGATTAGCAATTGTATGGATTGAAATATTAATCCAAGTATGATAAATAAATGGTGAACGAAAACAATTCGTGTCTTCTAATGGAATGTTCAGCAGATCTCATGCTGGATTTTTCTCTAACTGAAAACAACATGGAATTTATTTATAAAAATTCTTTTCTTTTGGAATCGGATTTAGTTAAATTAAATGATAAGTTGAAATAGCGTCATCAAAAATTTTTTGTGGACAGATCATGAAAATTAGATAGTTTTAAGAACTACGGTACTTGATTTTGAACCATTTTTTAGGAAAAATTTGATGAATCTATAACCTGTCTTGCTGTTCTAGCAGAATCCCATACATTAGCAATTCGAACACGCTAATGAAATAATATGCAACTATAAATCAACAACGTGCAGCAGTTATGGTTGAAAGTCCGTCTTGTGCAGCTGTGACAGATGAGCAGGCTGATGAAGATGCGATGCATTAACCCTGCATGTAGCCCCTGCACCAATAACATAGAGCGATCGTGAGGAATGCCTTGAAATGAAAACTGTTGATTCAATTAATTATGTATGAATCAAATTAAAAAATAGTTATTCATAAAATTATTCAACACCCGAAAATATAATTACACATACTATAACACAAGAAAATATAATTACCACTAAGTTGCAAATGAAATATTATACAGCAACTGCTGCTGCCACATTTGCATGAATAAATAAAATATTCCAGTAAAAAATAATGCCCACGGGAGTAAGGAAAAATGAATCCTAAACGGTTGGCACTAATCAATCAAAACGTAAAAAAATTTAAATGCTCAAAGAGTGCAGCAGCAGCAGCCTCTAACTTCCACGCCTAACGCAAGTAGATTACCATACTACGTTGTCTACTTTCATATCAACCAACAAGTCTGCTTCTTGTTTTTCATTTGCACAACTTTAATGATTCTTGTTCTCTTGAGCATCCTAATCAAGACCAGGATACATTTTAAAACATGACATTTTATTTTGAAATCAGTTCAACAAAGGAAAATATTTCAGGAAAAAAATAATACGTGTATCATTTTTACTTCTATCTTATTGAGAATTTACTCACGGTAGCTTGATCTTCATGAAGGCATAGCAGGCAAATGAGCTAACAATGATGCAAAAGAAGCCCATGAATATGAGTAAACCTCTGTTGAACTTCTTAGTGGCAGGGTTGTGTGTGTGGTCCAGGATGATGAAACCCAAAGCTCCAATGCCAAACATGAAAGAAGATGCCAATCCTTCCATGATGTACTGGCCGTTCACACGATATGCCATGAATGCCACCTACAAAATAAAATTAATTGACTTTCAAAATAAATATAATTAAGATAATACTGTCTTACAAAATTTTGTTTTCAAACCATATGGACATTTTCAGCCTATCACTAGCTGCACAAGTAACACTGCTATCTTGAAACCTGCAGGCATTAATGATACACTATGCAGAAAATTAAAGAAAATTGTTATTTAATATTGATGAGCTTACAGGTCGTGAATGGCCATGTTCATCAGTGGTGGAGCCAACGCTGGGCGGCTCAACTATCACATCATAGATGATGCCTGGAGAGAGGAAAATTGCAAAATCAAGCTCAAAACTTTCAGAAATTAATTCCAAACATGTTCTACATAACTGAAACCAAGGATAAATTTAAGCTTTTTTAGCAGATCCAATCAGTGGAGAGAATAGCAAAATGGTATTGAGAACATTGCAATCAAAGAGTAGTTTTCTAAATTGTCACATTTCACAATAAATAATTAGAATAAAATTATAAAACAATATTGCCTAAACAGCAGAAAGTAATGATAGCTGTTCTATGTCATATTAAGAAGAATCCACAGATAGGTGAAATTTCAAAATGGACTCAAATTTACACTGAGTAGAGTACTACAAAATTAATTTTTTAGACAATCAGAAAATTTGTTGGATATGCTAACTTTTCTTACCTCCAGTCACTAGAAAGTAAGACACAAGAACAAGAATGAATACAGTCATAGGCTGAGGCATGGCTATCCATGATGGTTTTCTCAGTTTCAAATGAGGAACCTCAAAAATTAAGAATGGCAAACTGTAAATTGCTTCCAACATTTTACTCCAGAAGGAATCTAATTTGTACCTGCAAAAAAAATAATACATTTTTTAAAAATGACATAAAAGTATTCAAGAAAGTAAAAACAATCATATTAGTCTTTTTTAAATGCAACCAAAATATTTAGAAGCCTTTTTTGTCCAATCTACAATGGTGGATTGCCATTGAATAAGGCATAAAGTGCAGACTGGCTGCTGAATGATTGTTCTTTAAAAAAGAAGTATGGTCTACAGCCTACAGAAATTTCTCAATATAAAACATTTAAAGCTGAAGAAAACCACAAAACTGAACAGTTTTTAAAGAAGCAAAAGTGGGGAACTGAAGATTACAACAATTCTAATTTCCATGTACATGCATTCTATGCAAAAAATGATCAGCAGGAGGTCATAACAGCACCTTTAATAAGATATCATTATTGAAAAACATTTGATGGTCTAAGAACATGAGTGCCACTGCATTTTAATACTAGTATAATTGGACAATTGGTTGGAAAAATCTGTAGGAGAGTGGAGTACTAAGAGTAAGAGTTGTATTCAAGTTGCTCTTTCGACTCCAAGTCTCAAATCATTAATTAAAAAATCCAATCTATTTTCTGAATAGTGCTTCATGTTTATATTTACAAACGGATGTGAAATAAATATACCTTTCATTCTTTCAAGATGCAACTAGAGAGCTTTCCCACCATTTCCAGAACTGCTAACAATAACATTCATGTTAGATGAATTACCTCCTATCTAATTGTTGATAAAATTGCATAATCAGGCCATGAGATTCCAAATTTATAAAAAATTTGGCACTTAGGACTTAGGAGCAATGAGATTTAAGTAATATTTTTTTAATGAGTAGGAAAATTTCAATCCTTTTCATAAAGGATGGAAATCATTAAACAAACAAATAACACAGTTATTCATTTTGGATAAATTTAAATTCAAAATTCAAATGATTGACTTAAATTCAATTTAAGTCAATCATTTATAAAAGTTTTATATATAAAGATTTCATTAATTGTTATAGATACTAGATAGGTGATAATTCATTTAGCAAGAAATTCATAGCAAACACAAATATCAATTTGGAATTTGGATTATTGGGCAGAATGCAGAAGTTTTCTAAAATAGCAGGTAAAAACAATAATTTTACAAGTGGTTTTTGAAATTTGCAGCCTGCAGGTGAAAAAATACACAATTTTTCTTATTTTTAATGAATAAATTAGGGGAAAATCCATAGAAAATGTGAAATTTGGCAGCTTCAACCTTCACATGATTTTTCTCAGATTCACAGGTAACTTATGCCCTATTTTTCAAGTAGAAATAAATCTACTTAATCTAGTCATGTCTTGGCAAATGCTAAAAGCTAAATTGCCAAATGGTAACTTGGCAACTCACTGGCACTCTGGCAAGTTGAATCAGACAATAATATACATTTAAAAATTACTTTTTGAAGACAACACTTCTAAAGAATCCAGTGTCTCCAATGTTACAGATGTACAATGAATTTCTCATTTTATTTTCGAACATTAAAAAAAATTAATTTTTCAATTTTTAATATAGAAAATTTTTTTAATATTTAAATTTTTTTTCAAAATATTTATACTGTCAATTGATTCATGAATTGCCTCAGACTTCACACAAGTGTGCAAAATTTCAGATCAATTGGACAGGTAAAAGTGTGTCAAATATCAGTTACAAGAGTTATAAGATTTTTGTAGCTGACAAAATTATTTTTTCAAGTTTTTTAACATTAAAAAAAATTGTTTTTAATTTTGAAATAATTTATTTTGACATTTGATTCATGCATTGTCTCCAACTTTACACAAGTTTGCAAAATTTCATATCAAAAGGATAAGTAGATGTAGAAGTGTGTTAAATTTCGATTATGAGATTTGTAGCAGACAGACAAACAAACAAGAAGTGAAGTTAAAGAGAATTGTTGTAAAAATGCCTGTGAATCTGAACTATTTCACCCGCTCCTATAGCTTTTTTGTAATTTCTCCAGTATAAAATTAAGTAAAACAGTCTATTTTTACCCATGATCTTTCAAAAACCCCCTGTGAAACAATCATTTTGACCCAGTAATATTAGGAAACTTCTGCCAATATTGTGAATGGGGACTGTATCTGATCTGAATAGCTTAATCCTAATTCCTAAGTAGCCAAGAAATTTTGGGACGACTGAAATAGCCCAGCATTGCCCATTACCAGCATAATTTTCATACTTCACCCCATGCACGAGCATGCTGCAGAGCAAATTAGNAAGAAATGTTAAACCATTGTCATTTGTCAATTGGCACTTAGCAATGGCAGGAAGTCAGGAACTTGAAGTTTAACAGGCCTCAACCTTACTTGTGTTAGCTAGGTACTAGCTAGTTGTGTAGAAGAGGCATATTCTATCAGTTTAATGGTACCTAGTATGTAAAAATTCATAGTGTCAAAGCATAAACTTTTTCTGACTCATTCACAAGTTCCTTTTAGAGACCTATTATAGACCAGTTAGGTACTAGCGTCCAGGGCCCAGGCTGTCCAGCATTATCACCTATCAATTTATCATACATAACTTAACATAAGAAATTGTTTTAAATCTTGAGTAAAGGAGAAAATTTAGAAAGGACCGCTTCTAAAATAGCCTAGGTATATGTGTTTGTCAAATTGTCACTCTGATGTGGATGACACAAAATTTAGCCACAATGCCATACTTTGCTTATACTGTAAGATTTGGAACGACCCAACGAAAGTTAATGGCAATTAAATTACAACGGCACTTTAGTCTTGAGTTGCGCTATACTCTATAGCCGGTTTCCAAAAATATCTTTCCTTTAAACAATACTGAATCACAATATTCTATTTTAGCTCAATCCGAATTGTTTTGTAGTTGTTATGTGTCAATATGCAATTACAAATCAATTAATCATACTTCTGCGTTCTGACAAATATTTTGATATGCGAGCGTCAGCGTTGAGCGAATGACTGGCGTCCGAGTCTGACTGTCGTCTCTCAATCGGTGAACTATAGCACAAGTGAGTTCTCTGAGTTTAAGTGACACAACGTATTACTTCGACCGTTCAACGCTGTTATTAGGATATGAACAAACATGTAAGCTACGTGGAACCACCGCACTGCGTGTGCGTGGTGTTTGCAAGTGCCAGGTTTCGCTGTTCAAATGTCAATCTTAATATATAATAGGATTTATCCACTCCTACATTTTTTTGCGTTATTTAAACCTGTGTTCTAGTCTCCAAATTGATGTTTCAGTAGTGACGATTTTACTTCTACACTCCGATTTTTAATTTTGTGTAGCTGTTATAGATGGAATCTGGAGGCCGTGCATGTTTCTGCACAAGTCGATTTTGCCATGCCAAAAGGTCACGTGATTACTTGCTTACTTAGCAAATCGAATCGTGTGTTCAAAATAACAAAGCTCTGTTTTGCAGCAACATCACGTCAGCACCAACTACGCAAACATTGCTGCCCTGTAACGTCAGCAACAAGTTAACAACAACACTTGCAACTCCACGTGCCTCTCTCACAACACGTGCAACTCTACGTGCCTCACTCAACAACACTTGCAACTCCACGTGCCTCTCTCACAACACGTGCAACTCTACGTGCCTCACTCAACAACACGTGCAACTCCACGTGCCTCTCTCACAACACGTGCAACTCTACGTGCCTCACTCAACAACACGTGCAACTCCACGTGCCTCACCTGTCTCTTATACACATCTAGATGTGTATAAGAGACAGAAGTAATGCGTAGTAATGTGCGTGGGACAGAAATGCCTAAAGATCACCCGCCCCGTTTGATGACTTAACAACGAAAAACGTGCCAGCTAAGAATCTAACCACTCCGGCACTTGAGTTCACACAAATTTGCGAGGACCAGAGATAGACTCACAGTTTGAGCTGAGCTAGTGAGAATTTCTTGCTTTTGACGAAGACTCGCTTCAGCTTAGGCATGCGCAGGAGGCTCTCTGTCTCTTATACACATCTAGATGTGTATAAGAGACAGTGACAAGCAACAGCATCTTGCATCAGCTGGCCCAAAGGAGGGCAAATAGACGGAACACGTCCAACGTTACATCCGACGACGACTCGGAGACGGAAGACGACGAAAGCGGCCGGACTGACCGGGGACTAGGAAGTCCCGAACTCATCATAAGGTCATAAGGTAAGGTCAAGGTCCATGTGCCTCCACTCCACTCACAGCAACACCTGCAACTCCACGTGCCTCTCCCAACAACACATGCAACTCCACGTGCCTCCTGCAATTCACCGTGAATTCTCACCACGACTCGTGCATTTCACCACGCCACGCCACGCGCTCCTGACACCTCGTCATCGCCACTTGCTCCTGACCTCGTCAGCACCACGTGCTCCTGACACCTAATCATCCTATGTTTTCCTGACACCTCGTCATCACCACGTGCTCCTGACACCTCGTCATCACCACGTGCTCCTGACACCTCGTCATCACCACGTGCTCCTGACACCTCGTCATCACCACATGCCCTGGTCTCCCAGTTCGTCCCGGGGCCACCATCATCGAGCAGGTCACGTGAGCTAAGAATAAATACTGGCAATCTTAAATTTGTTGTCGTTATAAACCGATAAATTTCATCGAGCCGCCCTATTTAATTTAATTTTATTCCTGCTAGCATAACTCTAGTTACCCTGATTTCGCGTTCCTAGGGGGATTGTTCCTGAGCGCCCCACCGTTGAGCTCGCAGTGTCTGACTGCAGGTCTCAGTTGTGGGGTTAAGTTATTATGTAGGTAGGATTCCTTACATTTCCCTTCTCTGTCTCTGTCGTGCGGGCGGCCGACGTCCCGTGTAAGCGACCTCTTGTTCGAGTGTCTTCGTTTCTGTTTCTTTTCACCTGTCCCTCCGTCTCTTAGAGATGCTAACGCTGCTTATTTCGAGCCAGCTTCAGCGGGCTGGACATCTGAGACCTACCGCCCCTTATGGGTGATGAATAATTGAGACCTTCCACCTCTATGGTGATGTTCATCTTGACTTTCGGTGCGAGATAGCTAAATAGCTGAAGCGCTAGTAAACATTTGGCCACTAAACTAACTAACTAACTCTAGTTACCCTGGCCTTCAAAAAAACTGATAAGGAGTCGATTTATTAAATGTGGTCGGGTGCTAGACCCCAAACACACATTGAAGCATTGGTACTGGCAACAATTGGATGTACATTTAGATGTTTCAGAATTTTTTATGATTTTACGCCAATTAATTTACTAATGCCACATATACTAACTCTTACAAGTTTCGGAAAAAAATTCTTTCGATTCAATTGTAATAGTGTTATAGATTAATTTTTTTTTTCAAGAGCTCAGCTCCACCCATGACCACTTCGAAAACAAATCTGATAAAATAAATGGTTACACAACTAAGGGATAAAATAAATGGTTACATATGAAGATGTGAATTTTTTAAGGAAGCTCAAGCTCTAAGGTAGACGAACGTACATATATCTTCATCTTCGTCGAGTGGTTCATCATAAGGCCAGTTAATTGTCGTGGTCGGAGCTGGAGAGAGCGTGTTCGTCAAAATCATCGTCATGGTCGTCATAAAATTGTTCTACATGTCCTCGTTCAATTCGTACTCGTCAATCGTACACAAGGAAATCCTTGCCAGCCGCCTGCTGGAGGAAGTCGTGGCCGAAGTCCAGCCACTCGTTGTCAAAGCGACACGACCCGACGCGCTCGTAGATGAACGAGTTCAGCTTGTGGTCTGAAACAAAGACATATTCATGCACATAAGAACAGTTGTCCGCATGTCTTTTCAGTAAAACCCGGGACCAGTTTAAGATAAATAAAATGTATGTATAAGGGTATAAGTAAAATAAACAGGTAAATAACGAGTGGTAACTATGAAGCAATTATTTAAGGTAAGGAATAGATTAATTAATAATACAGGAATAGATATTAATACCGTATTAATACAGGAATAGATTAGGTAGCTATATCGACACGTTCACTAATGAATAGGGGAGTTTTGGAGCCGTTTTTACGTTAGTTGACGCTTATATAGGTAGGCCTACGACTGACTCGTGGGATGCGTGTGGCACTTATATAGACTCCGTACATTGATGTCACGGAAAGTGACGCGGGGGATGCTACTGGAGGTATGTGTGGTGACGTATAACTTAACGTTACACTACTACCTAACACAGTACAACAAATTCAGGAGCATGCAGTTTTGGTTTTAATTCCTGAATGGGATTCCTGCTTTGTTTTAAATGGGAAGTTCAGAAGAAAGAAAAGTAAAGAGAAATGCACGGTTAAGTAAAGTATAAAAACGTTTAGCATATTGGACTTAGTGTGCACTTTCAACAATGTTTATCAAGGGATGCGGGAGAAAACTCATTGATGATAATATCAGATCACCAGCAGAGAACATGTCTTTTAAAAATACCGCATCAAATATCAATTCATTATGACTTATCCGAAGAAAGTTAAGACAGGTTACTTGGAAACATGAGGGAGTGAACCTTTGATTTTGATGAGATGATCTGCAAAGGTAACGTGGTGGGCGTAGTTGACATGCAGCACGAGGGGCTCGTCGTAGTCGAGACACTCTGAGGGGAACCTGGCCCTGCCCTCGGCCCAAGCCTTCCTGCGCAGCGCACTGAGCTCCTGTGCCGTGGAGAGATCCACGGACACCATCGCGGCGCCTATCTCGACCAGCTGAATGTGGCCCACGAGTCTGTAAGGCACCACTCATTAGTGAGCTTGTCTGGAGCAACATCACGGCGGCTACCGGCCAGGAATAACTTATCACACGTGGGCAACAGCGAGTAATTAAAGAGTGTGCGGCACAATTCCATAGGTGACGACTTTATCTGGACACATGATAGCGGTACGCTAGCAGCTTGTGTCTGTGACTGGATACATATTTTGCGATATATTTTTTTAGGAGTCCCGTTTTGACTATACGTTCTATTATGGATGTTCTTTTGTCTAGATTAGTGTCTAGATAATAGTTGAATACATTTATTATGTGACTGAAATATGGAGTCTCGTTTAACAGTTATATTATTTTGTTAACTCAAGGATTTAATTTATATAAGACTAAGTAATGCGTAGTAATGTGCGTGGCACAGAAATGCCTAAAGATCACCCGCCCCGTTTGATGACCGAACAACGAAAAACGTGCCAGCTAAGAATCTAACCACTCCGGCACTTGAGTTCACACAAATTTGCGAGGACCAGAGATAGACTCACAGTTTGAGCTGAGCTAGTGAGAATTTCTTGCTTTTGACGAAGACTCGCTTCAGCTTAGGCATGCGCAGGAGGCTCTTGTACGATTTAGCGTCCAAAGCGACGGAAGGCAGCGTCAGGGACGTCACTGACGTCGGCGCCAGCGAAAAGTTTACAGCTAAGACTTCATCCTTAGCGTACATCTGAGGAGAAAATTAAATATTATCACAAGGTAAAAAGTAAGGATCAACTTCCAGCCCAACTAATTTTTCAAGACTTCGTGTCCTCAGCGTAATGCTTGGATGAGAATCTATTAAAATAGTCCAATGGGATTAAACAACCGTGACTCTCAAGGAAAATTCAATGATGAAAATTTGTGAAACACAGTCTTCCTGACATGAAATCAAAATATTGCACTGTCCCATGCGAAACGGTGACAGCGTTATTTGAATTATTTTCAATATAAACTTTTTAAAGGTTGCCGATGAGTAGAAAATAAACAAAAATATATTTGTAATCGAATATGCCAGAATAATTTCAAAGGTTCAACCTGTTGTTCACGGTTACATTGACCGTCCGTTATTTTTTCTACAGGACTAAGAACGAGAGTTTCCAGTCTGCAGAGAAAGAATAAAAATTCTGTAAACCACTGGATAGTCATTCGTCAACGCCGTTTGCACTAATAGGCCCAATAACGCGATTTTCCGTCAATAGGCAAATGGCTAGAATTTAAAATAATATATACCAGTTCAAGATTAGTACACAAATGGAAGAATCAACGGAGTCATTTAAAGCACAAATTTCCACAAGGAAGAAATCTTATGAGTGTCTAAATAAATCAAATATCCGTATTTTTTAGATGAATAGTATTTGCCTTAGATGATCAATGCAAAGTAAATTCCATTACAACGTACTGACGAACAACTTTTGCCCTTGACTCAATTCACTTGAAATTTCAGTCCCGCTTGGACTGAATCATATACTTTTTCATATACTGACATCATATACTTTGTCTCTCGTGAACTCGATGTAAAGATCCTCGACGTCAGGCAGAGCGCTTTGAAGAAGAACCTCGATGTTATTATCTCTATGTGCAATAAAGTGCATCACCTGCAATAACAGAAAGCCATTTAGCCACACAAATGAAACATCAAAGGAGCAAACTAACAATTTCATTGTTAGTTTGCCACAAAATGAAGGGGCACAAAAATGGTTGATTAAGATTCGGGATTGAGACTATTCAAACCAATCTTTGTACACACGTGTCTCAGGCAAACATTTTGGCCAAAATCTTTAACAATGAATTTTTGCAGATTTGAAACAAGATCAATTTTCCTACCTTTAAGTTATTGAATATCTTGAAATTGAGCGGTGCTTGATACCATTCGCAATCAAGCTGGAGTTGGGTCAGAGCAGGACACATGCGTGCCATGGTTGACAACTGAGTTTCCACCACCGTCCACACTTCCCTGCACGTCATGCACAAGAAATACCACTCGTACAGTCAAGTGACTTACAGGGAGTATACCCTCCAGAAAAATTTCCACATTTACTTACGGATCTTTCTGAAACTTCACACATATATGTAAAACCGAAACACAAGCACATTTTGTTCGTATGATTTTTTCGGAAAAATTAATAGAAAACGTGAAATTCATAGAAAACTGACAAAAAAGGGGGTATGGTACTTTAAAAATCTATCTCCTCCTAGAGTTTTGAAGCTACAGCGATGAGACATATACCATTCGATTCGTAAAGACCATACCAATTGAGTAACAAAGCCCGATTATTGATTTTTGTCTTAGTTTTTTTACACGCATTTTCCCGTTTTCTTCTCATTTTCTTCAGATTTTCCCAACTTCCCCAACATTTTGAATCCAAACTATGCACAAATCTAAAAAAGGGCTTCGTTACTCGATAGGTGCTATGGTCTTCACAAATCGAATGGTATATGTCTCATTGCTGTAGCTTCAAAACTCTAGGAGATAGGTTAGCCGTGACAATAAGTGTGAATGTTCAGCAGAGCGCGACAAAGTCCCGCGCGCATCGCAATAGGCACTCAATGTAGCAAGTATACGAAACTAAACGTTACTGGAGCTTGATTCCACTCAAGGATGGTGGGAGAGACTGCATGCACACCTCCTCATACGACGCCAGGCGGGTTACTTACTGAGCTGCACCTCAAGCAGACACTGTATTTATAGTGCTGGCAGCGAATTACCTCCTATCTTATTTGTTAAAGAACTCCCCCACCCTCCCCCTTTCATGATCTATCGTGAACGCATGAGTCAACGTACAGAGATGGTAATGGTACCGTTGGATAGGGCAGAATGTCGGCTTTAAGATGAGACTAAAAACCGGAAAAGCCAAATCCGAAAACTTTAGGGTATACGGTCCCCCCTTAATGCAAGAAATACAACAAGTAATATTACTCAACTTCGCATGGAAGTCTCATCCTTATTAATTGTAACTCAGATATTTACTCGTGATATTCAGGCAAGCTCGTCAATTGTAGGTAAGGTCCTTCAAAAAATTTTCGTGCTGATTTACTCGCGAGAATAAACCGCTTGTTTCGACAATACTAAACTTCACGGCAAGAGATAATTTTGAAAACCTGAAGTAATATATTTTAGGAGCATTTCAAGTCCATTCAGGAATGATGCTCGTTTTTAAGCAATTTTAAACACGTATTCTAGGAAAACTTTCAAGTCAATTCAGGAATGATGCTCGCATTTAAGTGATTTTAAACACATATTTTAGAAGCATTTTTAAGTGAATTCAGCAACAATGCTCGCATTTAAGCGATTTTAAACATAGCTAATAGATGCTTCAAAATGTCCTCAATGAGCTATGGCTCCATCAGTAGTAATGCGCATTTCACACACATTTCTCCCATTCATCACAGCAATGGTATGAAAATTAAAAGAAATATTTGCTCTATTGTAAATATCAAACTTTTTATGAGATACATCAAAATTAGTTGTCAGAGAAACTGCCCTAACGCATTCTAATGAGAACAACTCTACTTAAAGATAGAGCTTCCATTCAGATCAAACTTGCTCCAAATATTTCACCCATCACGTTATATATTCAGTTGAAACAGCAAGCTTGATCATCATCCGAGTCGCTCATGAGCAGCATCAACCATTTCCCCCTTCATGAGCAGCATCAACCGCTAACAACGTTCCTCCAATATGTTACTTCCTCTATACCAATACTCATTTAACATATTCGACTTACCGAATTGGCAAGACATTGTTGAATAAGCGGAATGTCGTGAGGCTTGAGTTGAATGCGAAATCTGGATAACTATCATTCTCTCCAAGGTTTAACGTATCAACGTTGTGAATCGATAGCTCTTTCAGAGGAGTTTTCAATTTAGCAGGTATTGTCCCAGGCAATGAATGACTGCAGTTCTCCTTTTTTGAGGAATATCACCCCCTCCCAGAGCTGTGATGAGGTTCCAAGGAAGTGAAAGGTTCTCCAGATTTGAGCAAAACTTGAACAGTGCAAAATGAAATGCTCAATTGTGTCATCTGTGTTGCATGTGGGGGCAGAGGGACGCAAGTAGGACCTGTTGACAATTGACTGTTCGATTCATCAGAGCTGTGGAGTGAGGTAGGTGGTGCTTAAAGTTGGTGTGGGGAGATGACTCAGTTACCTACAGCTTCTTGGGTGTGAGCTGAGTTTAGTTATTGCATTATAGGGTAGGCGTTGGCGCTGTCTCTTATACACATCTAGATGTGTATAAGAGACAGGTATACTAGAACTAGAACACACTGGTTTAGTGCTAATCAACAACCAATAGGCGATTGTTGACAGTGTGTCTAGNCCACAAGGAAGAAATCTTATGAGTGTCTAAATAAATCAAATATCCGTATTTTTTAGATGAATAGTATTTGCCTTAGATGATCAATGCAAAGTAAATTCCATTACAACGTACTGACGAACAACTTTAAACTTGTGTATTTCAACTAGTCAAGAGGAATTGCAGGTCATTCAAAATTGGTTTCTAATTCCGGGCAAGACGAACATTGCACCCAAATAATACAGGACCACGCGGGTCATAGCATGTTCCATGTGCAAGATATGGTAATCCCTCGCTATATCACGCTTTACCTATCACGGCTTCACTCCACTGTATCACTATCTCACTTTTCAAGAAATAGTAACGAATTTAAACAGCCTGCGTATAGTAGTATACTATATTTACTACAGGGATTTCTATTATGTAAAAGTGTGGGAAGGGTTTGTTAACATTTAAAACAATGGAAACCTAACGAGCCATTACATTACAATATAAATACAGTATGTATATAAAATTACAATATAATACAAATATTAACCGCGATAGGCTAGGGATTAATATAAAGGAAATTGATGGTTTATGCTATACAATCATAGTTGACATATCCCGAGTGCACCTCATAATTCCGAAATCAAGAAGATACTATCAAACATACTAAGATATACATATTTAAGACTTGGTCACAAGTCTCCGATCGAGGATATGCAAAATTACTGAAAGTCAGATTCCCTGCGGCTGAGTTCGTTTTAGCACAGGTTCAATTCAACCCCGAATTTTTCCGCTCCGTATTATCTGTATGCTAGCTTTTAGCATTCGAATAGTTATGTTGAGCACCTGGCAGGCTTTGAATGTAAACCTTAAAAAAATACTTTAAACAAGAAAGAGTTCATATATCACATCATAACAAAAGGGAAACTCATAGTTAGAACACGTATACAATCACACAAGTAAATAATCTGAGTAGCAAACCATGAAGTTAAAAACTCTGAAATCTTCAATAATGGTGAATATAATGAACTGAAAATATCAAGAAGGAGGTTTTCAAGTGAAGGCCCTTGACTCAATTCACTTGAAATTTCAGTCCCGCTTGGACTGAATCATATACTGACATCATATACTTTTTCTCTCGAGAACTCGATGTAAAGATCCTGGACGTCAGGCACAGCGCTTTGGAGAAGAACCTTGATGTTATTATCATCAAAAACAATAAAGTGCAGCACCTGCAACAACAGAAAGCCGTTTAGCCACATTAATTAAACATCAAAGGGGCAAACTAACATTTTCATCAGCCAGCACAAAAATGGTTGATTAAGATTCGGGATTGAGACTATTCAAACCAATCTTTGTACACACGTATCTCAGGCAAACAATTTGGCCAAAATCTTTAACAATGAATTTTTGCAGATTTGAAACAAGATAAATTTTCCTACCTTTAAGTTATTGAATATCTTGAAATTGAGCGGTGCTTGATACCATTCGCAATCAAGCTGGAGTTGGGTCAGGGCAGGACACATGCGTGCCATGGTTGACAACTGAGTTTCCACCGTCCACACTTCCCTACACGTCAAGCAAAGCAAATACCACTCGTAAAGTCAAGTGACTTTATGCAAGAAATACAACAAGAAATATTACTTAACTTCGCATGGAAGTCTCATCATTATTAATTGTAAATCAGATATTTACTCGTGATATTCAGGTAAGCACGTCAATTGTAGGAAAGGTCCTTCAAAAAATGTTCGTGCTGATTTACTCGCGAGAATAAACCGCTTCATTCGGCAATACTAAACTTTGCGGCAAGAGACAATTTAGAAAATCTGAAGTATTATATTTTAGGAGCATTTCAAGTCCATTCAGAAATGATGCTCGTATTTAAGCGATTTGAAACCATATTTTAGGAGAATTTTCAAGTCACTTCGGAAATGATGCTCGCATTCAAGCGATTTTTAACACAACTAATAGATGCTTCAAAAGGTCCTAAATGAGCCATGGCTCCATTAGTAGTAATTAGTAATTTCACACAAATTTCTGCCATTCATCACAGCAATGGTATGAAAATTAAAAGAAATATTTGCTCTATTGTACATATCAAACTTTTTATGAGATACTTCAAAATTAGTTATCAGAGAAACTGCCCTAATGCATTCTAATGAGAACAACTCTACTTAAAGATAGAGCTTCCATTCAGATAAAAATTGCTCCAAATATTTAACCCATCACGAAATATATTCAGTTGAAACAGCAAGCTTGAACATCTCTGAGTTGCTCATGAGCAGCATCAACCATTTTCAATTTCATGAGCAGCATCAACCACTAACTACGTTCCTCCAACATGTTACTTCCTCTATACCATTACTCTTTTAACCTATTCGACTTACCGAATTTGCGAGACATTGTTGAACAAACGGAATGTCGTGAGGCTTGAGTTGAATGCGAAATCCGGATAGCTATCATTCTCTCCAAGGTTTAACGTATCAACGTTGTGAATCGATAGCTCTTTCAGAGGAGTTTTCAATTTCCATAGAAGAGGCCAGTTAAGATA